TGTATATGTATATGTATATGTATATATATGTATATAAATTCTAAATTCACATTTCTGTGTTACCTGGGAGAAAGCATGCAAGAACAGCATATGGAGGGGGGGGATGCTGAACAAGGTTCCTCTGGTACAGGACAGGTCTGCCTAGGACAAACCTGCCTCCAGTAGCATCTCCCAGATCGCTGAAGAAAGGGGAAGTGCTTTTAGCCCCCATTTCCTCTACACAGCAGCTTTCCTGAAGATCCAAAGCGCAGCTTCCTCTATTCCCAATACAGGCCACAGGTCCAGTTAAAATCTGAGGAACCACCAGGCTAGAGCTGGAGAAGGAAAGGCAAACAAGAACTAAAGCCAAAACCTGTTATCATCCAGTCTGATGGAGAAAAGTGGTAATTCACGGGTCAGCAAATGAACCTGGGCACCACTACACGGAGGACCCTTCTTTGCCCATGTCAAAACAAGTGACCTCTGTCCCACTCCTCTGTTCCCTTTGTGAGTTTCACAGTCCCTTATGATCATCACCCCTGGTTCCTTCTAAGCTCCCCCTCCTTGTCCAATTGCCAAAGTACAGCTGAGCCTCACAGTCTGTTCAGTTTATGCCCAAAGGGGCAGCCAGTCCCTTTGCAAACAGTCTCCTTGCATCCCAAAGAGCATCTACCTGTGTTTGTAAGGGGAGATCAGATGTTTTCAAAGGGCCTGAATTTCATGAGGGATTCCTCCACAATCTCACCTTCTGAGGAAAATCAACAAATTTCAGCCGGGCAAGAAATCGCCTCACTTCTCCACGGCTGATTTTGGGAGTGCTGGTGTCCTTCAGCCACACCATTCGACCTTGACTCATCATGGCCCACTTTAGGCCCAGCTTGCTGACTGAGAGAAATCCTGGCTGTGTTTCAGAGGTTGCAGTTGTTGTCACAGTGATGTGAAATGCATCCTTCTGGAGATCATTAATTCCAACTGGTCCATCAGAAAAGGGGGAGAAGATATTCGTGAGGAGTAAATGATTACATTTCTTGCGAAAGAAATTACTCAGTCAAAACATCCACCAGACTGAGGGTATACTCAGTCTGACTGTACAATTGCATGCACCTCGGTTAATCAGAGAAAGTTATTTTAAGTTAAAAAATTTAATAAACTGAAATTTAGATCAGAATGGAAGGGGCTGGTTCCATGTGATGTTTTTAAGCTTAACATAAGAGATGCACATATTTCAATAACACACTTCACTTTCAGAGAGCTTTCCTTCCCATGCCTGTTGGCAGGTAAATTGGTAAAGTACAGTCAAGTCAGTTCATTCCATTCACTGCAGAATAATCTGTACGGACTTCAGAAATCCCAGTTTCTAATAAACACATCTAAAAATGATACTGTATTTTTTCTAGACTGAGCTGTGTTTTTGACACAAATCCAATTAGATGTATTACTAAATAGCAGTTTTTATATGCTTCTTGGACTCAGTGCTAGATGAACTGGTCTTTTATCCCATACCCTGCCATGCACAACAGGCCGTGTGTTGGTTGAACTGCTGTAGAAAGGGGAAGAAAATCCACCAGGGACTGTACAATCTTGTACAGATGTTAAATCCAGACAAACTTTTCTCTGAAAACACACGTTTTAACATCTTGGATTCCCCCTTCCAAAAAGAAAGAGGAAGGAGGAGATATCCCAGAGAGCAGAAGATGACAGCCAACAAAGACAGAAGTGTATGAGGTGACAGAGAAAAGTTTAATTGTGATTCTTCACACATGGCCTTAAATCATAAATAGCTCCATGGAAAGCAAGGGAACTTCTCTGGTGTAAAACATGCATGAAATCAAACTCAGACCCCTCCTTGCTCAAACATGTACAAGAAATTTAGTGGGTCTTTTATTTGCAAAGCAGGGGTTGGAGAAGACCTTCCTTGAGGAGGAAGATGAATCTTATTTCCCATTGTTGGCCTATGTGCGATGAACTGCAGGGGCTACATTTAAAGGCACAACTACATCCCATTGCTTCTCACAGTTACTTCTATCTCATACTTCTTTTAGCCTAAGTAGTTTCTCCTCCATTTGTACTCACCTGCTGAAGCAATGACTTTGTCTGTTGTGTTGGTGAGGTCCAAAAGGACTGTAGGAAAAACAGGATGGAGGAGATAGAGGTGGTGCAGTCCTGGGCGCTCAGTTCTGGGACCAGGTTGCTGATGGAAGGAAGAACAGACAAAAACATCACAGCTGGCTTGCAAAGAGAAGTTTCATTGCCAAAGAAATGAAGAAGTTTTATGACACTGTGCTGTCTTTACATGGATCAGAGAATCAAAAGCTCTGTGGTTTTACAGGCCTTAAATACTGCAAAGTTTTTTTCTAAAACAGAATTTTCTCCACAACTTCTGTTTGGTAAAACTGAGATCTGACTCTGTCAAAGCCAGCTTGATGGGTGAAGTTACAATTTGGAAGCATGAGTTTCCATGCTGACCTGTGTGCGTGTGTGCAGAGAAGCAGCGCTCTGGGGCTGGGAACAAATCTGCAGTAAAAATACCTCAGTTTTGCAGAAAAACATTAAATTTACACAGAAAGTTTAGGTTTTGCGGACATAAACTTTCTGTCAATAAAATTTTCTGGTGAAGAATTTGCACATAAACACTCCTGTTTTCAGGCTCAGAGAAGTCAGGGTGCTGAAGTAAGAGGAAAAGATGTCTCTGACAGCCTTCTTATACAGCAGGTTTAAAGTTCAATTACATTAGGAATAAAAGACAGAGACTGCATGTGCCTCACAGAGAAAACTCAAAGTGAAGAAAGGACACTTGCTCACCAAACTTTGTAACACAGGCTGCGCTTCATCAGCCCAGAAGAGAAAAACAGACTTCTTCTCCAAAGTCATGACTGACAGTGCATCCAGTTGTTGCTTCTGCCATGGGAGCTCCTGGTTCCAAACAGGGAGGCCAGATTTGCCATCTAGCACCACCACCTCAAGGCAGGGGAGAAATTTCACATTAACAAGTGTCCCAGTGTGGGCATACAGAGAGCGGCCTTGCAGTAGCATGGCCTGTGCTGTTCCCTTTCATACTCGTGGCCACACAGTGATGAGTGTTAGCCACAGAAATGGGATAAACAAGGAATAGGGAATGACTGTCCCTTTCTACCCAACCTCCTTCACTATGCTGCCACAGCCCTCCCCTTGCCTCCACTTTTTTTACCTTTTTGTTCCCATCTCCAGTCTGTGCTTGCAGCATAAAGTCCAGAGTTTGGTCAGCACTGAAGTAACCTGGTACAGGCTGGCTGCAAATTTTGAAAAAAGAAACACTCAGCCTCATGGCAGAAAAACAGGCATCTCAGATGGAGGCAGCAGAGTTGCTTTCATCCTCCATTCTGCCTCTTAAAAAGGCAGGATTTGCCAGGCTAAGTAAGAACTGTTCTGACTGTCAAGAACCATTTGCTGGTGGATCAGAAAAGTGAAAAATGACCAAGCAGCCCATCATGCTTGTTAGCTGTTCTTCAGAGACAGCTGTGTGTGGGGCTTGCCCTTGCTGGGCTGTGCAGACATCTGTTTATCACCCTGTGACATGACTTAGCATGAGAACCTGTAGAGTTTCACCATGGTCATAAAAAATTACCCAGCCCTTTCAAAATGCATTGGCGGATTTGACCTCCTACTGAAAGTGCATTTCCCAGGCTGCCTTAGCTGTGAGAAATGGCTCTTAATAAACTCACCATTAATGTCAGCCCATGATTCTTTGTTTTCCTACTGCTGGCGGTTTTACAAGCCTTTTTATAAACTTCAGCAGTTTAAATGAAGTCCCCTATCATCCTCTCCCTTCTGGGTGACTTAACACTATTACTTGAATATTTCTCTTTATAACTGTTTTCTAACCATCTTGCTTGCATTTGGCTTTCTGAGTCTCATCTCTGCCTTTCTTAAATTCACCGCAGCTAGACACAAGGTTCTAAATAAGCATAAACGATTCCTCAAAATTCACAGAATCAGAGACTTTATGGTGAGGTAAGATCATCAGAATATGTTCTCTCTCCTCTTGTTTATGACAGATTGCTGTATTTCACCTAATTAACCAAGTATCAGTGGCTGACTGACTAAATCTACCAGCCATGAGGCTTGCTACAGAAACAAAAAGATGACATGAATTCATCACCTCTTGTGACACTCAGTTCTAATGATTAATCTCACCCAAACAAACATGCCTGCATTTTCTTTTCTTGAACATGAATGGCTTTCGCTTCAAGGCACTTGTTCTTGCTATGGCAAGATTAAAATGCCTGTTAGCTCCTATTAGTTATACATGCTTATGAATTCACCTCTCAGGCTTCTCTTTGATCATATAAACCCACTGACTTAAATCTTTCATGTTAAAGCACTTTTTCCAGCCCTCTTCTCTGATTTTTTAGAACCTTCCCTTTAAAATGTGCATACCAGAATGGCTCCTGAACAGCAATGTCACAGTATGGCAGTGGCTTGACTATGTATACTTACTACATCAAACAATGTCATTTGCTTTACAGACACCTTTGGCAACGAGAACCAATGCTTTCAAGGCATTATCGTGGGACATTCCTATAGCCTGAAAGCCCTCCAGAAGCAAAAGGAAGTAGTAGGTAGTTCTATGCTATGGGCAGAAACTTAAAACCTCTCCTGAAGTGCCTCTTTTCACATCCCTTATGGGTTACAGTCAGCAGCAGATCCCACAAACTGAATGCAGACAGACATACGTATTTTAGATGCTACCAATCAAGTGAAAAATCCCCATGGCACTTTCTCAAATGAACCAGAAGGCTAGTAATTATTCCTGCCCAACAGTAATCCCTACAGCAACCTGCTATTAATCCTCTCTCATCTGAAACATCCATTTACAACACAATCTTCAACTGCTTACTCAATTTCATGGTCTCTGAACTTCGCCCTTGTTTTATGACTGCTGATTCTCCTTTATGCTTTTCCAGGGATCTTGTCAAAAGCTATCTGGAAATGCAATACATCTGCAGCAGTCAGGTTGTTTTTCTCCAAGACTGTCCCTAAAGGGCTGCATTCAAGTCTGCCTGGCTGGAGGGATGTGCTTGGGCCAGGTTTCCTGGGAAAATGGGAGCTCTCAGCTGGGTGTGCAAGCTCTGTGTGATGAGGAATGGAGGTTCAGTCTGTTTAGCTCTGCGGTGACACCCCTGAGCTGAATTTCTCACCTAGCCTGTGTTGCTAAAGCAGAACTTCTCTAACTCCTTAAAAGCCCATCCCACTTCAAGAAATGCTTGTCCACAATATATTCAGTCTTCCAGACTTCTCTCTTAATTCCAGGAAAACAGAGTCCAGGACTTTACCACAGTGGCTGTGAACAAGAATTGCTTTCACTAGTTTTCAGTGCCTCTTTGGCAGCTCCTGTACACATATTGTACTCTGTCCCTTCAGATGTCACATAACCAGAATAAACAGGACTAGAGTACAGCAGTCTGGAATACTAGTTGCCCAGAGAGGTTGTGGAGTCTCCAACTGCACTTCTGTGAATGGAACAAGTAAAGCAGTTTTCAATCTTTCTTGATTTGAACCCACTGAAGTTTTCAAATTCATTAGTGGGTCCATTTAGAAAATTCTTGCATATAACTGATTTTACAGCATCTATGAACTGGCTTTGCTTAGTCAGTACACACTTACCTTTTAAGCTAGATCCCAGTCACATCCAGAAGTCATAGAATCATTAAGGTTGAAAAAGAGCTCTAAGATCACCAAGTCCAACGATCTAACCAACACCACCATGTCCCGAGTCTGCAGACTCTGGGCCCAAAACATTTTCCATCCATCTCCTTTCCCCTTAGCATGATCAACTAGCCATAAGGCATTCCTAAAACCACTGTTTGTCACCCATCAACCCTCAGGACTGTGGACATCATCAGAATATCGAACCTAGGTGAACACCATTTTTTTCACTTAATGAAGTTCCAATGCCTTCCTCCTATAGGTAACACTTGACAGTCAGGTAACACTGAGCTGAGAGCTGCTTTTTTTCCTTTAGATAGCAGAGCAAGCAATTTTTTTCCTACATAATTTCCCTCAACTGTGCCCAACTGCCCTTTGCAAATATTTAATACTGGGTAAGCTGAAATTGCTGGTTATTATCAACCCATGAGATCTGGAAAATTACTTAATCTCCATGTGTGAAATTAGAGGACGAGCAGTATTATTTCAAGGTTTACATTTAACAATAGATAGTGTGCTGACTGCCACTTTTTCAGCTTTCAAGGAACATTAAGATCTGTGGGCCATACTCAGGCACCTTCTCTAAATACTTAACATCACTAATGCAACTGCTCCTCTCCACTGAGTTGGCAAGTGGCAGCCCTGGACAGCAGACGAACTGAATCACACACCAGTAGTTCCTCAACTTCCAATGTCATGACATTCCCATGACATCAATGTTGGGTACCTGAATCAAGCCCTGTATTTGATACCACTCACAAGCACACAGCTCAGGTTTCCAGCCTTCTGTTCCTTGCTCCCCCTACCCTCCTCACTTGCTCAGTTAGGCATCTACACAAGTACCGTTCTTAGACGTCTCTGCAGATTTGGAGAATTCTTCTCAACTGCTTTCGAGTGAGCACATGTGTTTACAAATGAAAGGCAGGAATAGTACAGGAAGAAAAAGACATAAAAATGTTCCCAGTATGTAACCTGCTGATGTTCTGCAATTCCAGGGTCCAGCGGAGCTCCAGGTCCTGTCCCTGCAGTAGGACCAAGCCCTCTTTTGTTGTGATGAGCAGGTTGCTGCAGTTTGTGTCAGGTGTCTTCATCATCTGCAGGAAGTCAACACCTCCACTGGGACAAATGGAAAAAAGAAAGGAGATTTGGAAGCTCGTATCTGCACATCTCAGCACTAGCTGCCTGTCCATATGACAATTCATCCTACCTAAGCTTTCAACTACTGTTGGAGAAGCCCATCTTTTCCCCAGTGATGGTGCTTAGCTTCCATTGGTGGTTCCTCAGTTAAGTGGGCTAAATTCAGGTGTGGGTTCTTCTGAACATCCTGAGTTACTATAAAAAATGTGGAGTTTGTGGGTTTGCATTTGTTCCTTCCCTGATAGCAATAATCCTTGACCGCAAATTCACAGTAAAGAAGGAGTTGAGAAATCCAGGCCCACATATGCTGTATACAGATTGAGCTTCCAAAGCGACTCCATTAGCTGGGAACACTTTTTCTGTTCCCTCCAGGTACGTATGCCAGGTAGAAGAATAGAATAAGAAGCAGGAGAAGCAAAGGACTCCCTTTTATCATACCCTGCACTTCTCCTGCTGGGATAGCGACACGACAGGGAAGAAACAATGGGTTCCCCAGAGTACTGTTATCAACTAGACAATGAAAAGGACAGTACTGAAGTAGAAGGGAGCATCTCTAGGAGCACTAAGAGGTACGTACTCTCTCCTTCCTCTCCCAGTAGAAGCAAGGCGACAAGTCCATCTCCTACCTGTAAATGTCAATGAGCTCTGACAGGTTGACAGATCTGCGCTTTTCCCACTCTGGCTCCTCCTGCTCCAGCACTGCAGGAAATCGGTCCCGGTTTCTGGCTTGGGTAAAGAGATCCCTCAGGGCAACGGCTTGAACATTACCTGCCAAGAAGATTTAGGATGAAGAATCCTGCCTACAGAAGTTAACTCTTTATTAGCACAGGAGTCCTCAGGACCACTCCAGTTACGTTAGAAGGCAAAGAAATATCCAGAGCTAGAACATCCCTAGCACGACGTGCCTTTGGAAAACTCCAAGGTATTCCAGGTTAGCAGGTATCGGTGCTCCTGCACTTTTCCACACCATGGCAGTTCCTATGCCTTCTACTCCTAGCTCTGACAGCAGAAGGCATGGTAGAAGTATCCCAGGGACCAATTTTAGGTAAAATGAATGTTTTCTCGGTAAGGTGAACTGCTGGAGAGGCAAGGTGCATCTTACCAAAACCAAACAGGATGTAGATGGCTCCCCGGCTGGTGATGTGGACTTGGGGACCAATCACTTTCCCTTCTCCATTGGTCTTGTACTTCACAGGCCCACCTAAAGCAGTCCCAGTCTTTCCCGACACCAAGACGAAAAACACAACAGGCTGAAAAGAGAGAGAGGCGCAGAGATTTTTAGCAGTCCTTTCATGCACTTTTGCTCTAAGAATCTCGCCCAGTCGCCACAGCAGGAAGTTCAGTTGCTCTTTTTCCCCACAGCAAGGTCTAGTTAGTGGTCTCTTTGCTCAGTCTGTCTTCCTCGGTGTCTTACGTTTACGCTTTTCTCTTAACTGAAATGCACTGAAGATGGAAGAAACTTCAAAAACCTGAACACCATTCATGCTAGAATTATGGGGAGGAATGAACACAGAGGAAATCTGCATTGAAATTAATCACAGAAGTATTTTTTTCTTTTGGATACACTGAATGCTCCTTTCTCCAGTGACTTATCTCAAGAGAGCTCTCTACACTGCTGCTAAATATTCACTTAAAACTAAGCCTTCACTGAACAGAAACAGAACATTCTCAAGTCTCAGGCAGCTTTAAATAGTGACCCTTGTGATCACTCCCAGCTGACAAGAAATTCAGGTAGCGTCACTATTGCTTGATCTCACTGCTCTTACCTATTGAAAGAGAAAGGGTGCTTTTCAGAGAAGTCTAATGGAATGAAAACTAGGGGCTCTTTCAGCAACTCTTACAGCCCTTCCACACCAAGCTCTCTGTTCTTCCTCTACATAGTCAAGATCCTTTAAAACCTTGAAAATTAGAAGCAACAAGCAAGAAGCTGTACCTGTATCTCTTTGAGCGCCATAACAACAATATCCCTAATCCCATCTCCGTCTATATCCGGGAGAGTTGCAGCTGGTGCAGCCAGGAACCCACTTGTAAGGTGGACGGAGTTCAGCGTCCAGATGGTCTTGCCTGTGGGAAGAATGGGATGAGAAAGAGACCTGCAGTGCTTGGGGAACCAGAAAGCAGCCCCAGAGGGGTTTACAAAACCTTTTTAAAGGAGAGAGCAAGAGAAGTTGTATCCCCTATTCTCTGAGAAGGTGAAAGACAAGCCTACAAACTGGGGTGAGCTGCAGTGGGAAGCAAAGTTCTTCCCCTAGCATTTCTTCAGGTTGTCTTTGAGTCATGCCTCAAGTCCTGCATGTTTCCTTCTTCTGTCTAGAAAGATATGAGCCCAAAATCATTCCTGAAATAGCTCAGTTTCAACCTGTTTTCATGCAAGCCTGTGCCTCTATACCTGTTGGGTCAATGTCATCTGTCATTCATTTGCATGAAAACATGTTCCTGAGGTTCACTCTTAGAAGGAGAACCTAAATGAAAGTGCTGCTTTGCAGGACCGGAGTTGTTTTCCTCAGCCAGCAGTGAAGTCTGTAAGTAGATGCCAGGAAAGGGAACAGATGGGCAGTTCTGATATTCAAAGTGCAAAACTGTGTCTTGGTTAAATTCCCAGCAGCAAAAAGCCGCTCCATCATGGCATGCTTACTCCTCAGGGTGAAAGTATGTTAGCAGACG